CTACACTTTTTGGCGGATTTATGAAGTTTCTGCAAATAAGAAAAAGGAAATGAAATTTCCTCTCGGCACTGGGCTATGCGGCCAGCCCGCAGCCACGGCGGCCGACGCGGACGCGTGGCCCAGGCGGGGCGGGGCGCGCGCGGCCACAGGTCGTGGCCCACGGCGCGGCGAGCGCGGCCCAACGTGGCGCTGGCATGAGCGGCCCAGGCGCGGTGGCGGCTGGCCGGCCCTGCGCGGCCTGCCCAAACCGACCTGGCGGTTATTGAAAAAGGACCCTACATTTACCTTAAACTAACTCGAGGTAAACAACACTATGTGCTACTATTCATATGAGTCACAGTTTTCACACCAGCCCTCCAGAAACGCTTCTATTTACACTTTCTCACCTTTTCTCCCTCCTCACAAGCAGAGCATGAGTAGGGGGGGCGGCCGGCGGTGATGTTCATGGAGTCACTCCTTCGATCGAAGGGCAGGGTGAAGGCGGAGTTGGGCGTCCTGGTGAACGGGTGTCCAGCGGCGTCCGTGCAGAAGCCCCTGCCCATGATGAGGATGAGGCGGCCGTACTGCGCGTTCGGCGAGATGGCGACGGCGACGGAGTAGCGCAGGCCGGGGCTGAGCACCTGGAGCGTCGACGGGTCCACGCTGCCGGAGCCGTACACGATGAGATTGCAGTAGGTGGCGTTGCAGACAAATCCACCGCGGCCGGGGCATGGCTCGGAGAAGGAGACGAGCGCCGACAAGGTGGAGGCCGCGCTCGTGAACGCCGGCCCCGCCGACACGAACGCCGTTCGTGGTTCTCGCGCACGCCGTGAAGGTGTGGTTCCCGTCCTTGAGCCCCGCGTAGCTCGCCGCCGCCGTCGTCCCGTTGCTCCCGCAGGATCCGCCGTAGGGCGACGCCGGCTCGCCGTCCAACTGGCAGGTGACGAGGCAGTCAGCGCAAGGCCCTCCGGTGGCGTGCAGGACCCGGAAGGCGAAGGCGGCGGACGTGGACCTGGAGACACGGCGTGGGGTGGCTGAGAAGCTGAGGACGACGTCGCCGGCGCCGGACCAGAGCGGCGCCACAGCAACGAGAAGCAGCAGAGCAATGCGCAGCGGCGGCGGCGGCGGCGCAGCGCCCCAGCTCTTCCACACCATGCCGTCCTGGTTCTATGCCCGGAACGGAAGCAGAGGACGAGTGCTCCACTACTCCTAGAGCAATGGTGCAGCCGGCCTGGCCGGCCGGATAAATGTACTGCTGCACGGCGCGGCCGCTTTGTGCTTGCCCTGCCTCTGCGACTGGAATCGTATCGTATCGTGTGGGTATTCGGTGTGGTAGCTCGCAGCAGCTACTGAACTGAATGCGCTGGCCTGGGAGCTGGGACTGGGAGTGGGAGGGGACAGCAGAGAGAGACGAGCTGGGGAGGGAGTGGGGTGACGATGAAGTCTGTGCTGGCTGCCTGGCTATCAGAGGCAGAGTGGTGGTAAAAAAACTAAAAATGGACGCTGGCTCAAGTGAAAAGAGGCAGGAACACAGGTACAACTCCAGTAGGTAAGGTAGCTGAGGTGGACCGTGGACGCGGCGTGGGCAGGAGCAGAGCCATGTGTTCCCCTTCTGACGCCTCTGCGCAGTGGACCTGTTCAAGACGTGGACTCCGCTGCTATAACAAAAGATTTTCTCCACCGTCAGATTTCCAACTTTGATTAGGTGACCAGACGGACGCAAGGACAGAGCAGGCCGTGATAGGTAAAATGAGGCCCAGTTTAGTTTCCCAAATTTTTTGCAAAATTTTTCACATTCTCCGTCATATCGAATCTTTGGACGCATGCATAAAGCATTAAATATAAATAAAAAATAAAACTAATTACATAGTTTAGACGAAATACACGAGACGAATCTTTTAAGCTTAATTAGACTATGATTGGATACTAATTGCCAAATAACAACGAAAACGTTACGGTGTCCATTTTGCCAAAAAAATTGGAACTAAACTGAGCCTGAGTGGATGTGGACGATGCTGAACGCACCTGGTTGAATTCGCAGCGCGTTCCAGTTAGGTAGTGTTTAGTTGGTGAATTTTTTTAGAAAATGGTACTGTAACATTTTCGTTGTTATTTGGTAATTAGTGTCCAATTATAGTCTAATTAGGCTTAAAAGATTCGTCTCGTGAATTTCGTCTAAACTGTGTAATTAGTTTTATTTTTTATTTATATTTAATGCTTTATGTATGCGTCAAAGATACGATGTGACGGGAATCTTAAAAATTTTTGCAAAACTTTGGAAACTACACAGGTACTTAGAAATAACACTCCTGAGCACTTTGTCGTAATTATTGCAAGGTCTGAACCTCGACGATTTCAACTGGCAAACATAGCATGACATAGCCCCTGCTCCATGCTAACCCACATAGCAAAACATTTGAACGCCTCTTAATTATTTTGCTTAATATAAGTAGTCAAAAATAGCATTCTAACTATAATTTCAACTTCCTGCCGATTCACGAAAGGTCTAGTTTAAATGTCGGCTTCGATTTCTGAGCTATCAGATATACTATTGAACAACTTTTATTCACTAAAACAAGAGTTGTATTTTCATCTATTAAACTTACGCTCCAAATTTTATTCAAGTACTAAATACAAGTTATATTTTATTTTGTTTATAAAAATTGCTTCTTGTGCCAAACAATTAAAAATACTTTTCCTATTTTCTTTTTTAGATTTTCATTTGCACATTTAAGTAACTAACTCACTATATTTATAGATCTATCTCTCAGGCCATAAACTCAGTGCTAAATGAGCTCGTAACACCAGAGGTGTTACAACAAACGAGAATGACACCGAGGCATGATGTTTTTTTAACGAGGTTTGACGATGTTGCTTAATCCTCGGGGCAATGACTACGGGCGCTCCTCCCCATAAAACAGCAGCTACACCGGCATCTGGACGATCCCACGGCCTCGCCGCCGTCCAAACCAGCCGCCAAGTCGTCTCATGGATACAACAGGGGTGGCCTCATATTTATGGCTCTCTGGGACAGAGAGTTCGACTTCAACTCTATCCCCAGATACAATTCAACTCCAGCGTAACCAAAATTCTACACATATTCCACACGTATCTAACAGCTCCGAACCGTTGTGCGGTTTTCGTTCGGTCGTCTGTCCGTTGTCATTGATTGAGTAGTGGTGGCCATCAATACGTCAATGTGTGGCCACCAACAAGATGCAGCAGTGCAGCACGAGCATAAAAAAAAATTCCGGACACCGGTCATGGTTGCCATTCTTTTCTGTAACTGAACCCAGAAGGGTAGTGTCATCATCACCTTGAGACTTGAGTGCTCTGCTTTCGCTGGAGCCCGTGGTGCACGCTCATGGAGGCCGCCATTCATAGTGCCTCGAAAACAAGGTACGTGCCATACCTTACCTCATGCTTCGTTCTTGCAATCTTGCGTGCAGTCTTTACGAAAACAAGTGTGGGTCCTTCAATTAATCTGGAGCCTACCAGGTTTTGTTTAGGAAGAAGTCATAGTTTCTACTGTATTCTGTATATATGTAAATGTAATAACACAGATACTTCCGGTGATTGACCCTGGCCTTGACAGGATTGCTGTGGTCACCGGTGGGAACAAAGGGATTGGGCTAGAGGTTTGCCGGCAGCTGGCCGGCGACGGCGCCACCGTCGTCTTAACAGCCAGGGATGAGACGAGGGGCGCAGCCGCTGCAGAGAAGCTCAGAGACGCAGGGCTCTCCGATGTCATTTTCCATCAGCTAGAGATCACTGATGCTACGAGCATCGCTCGGTTGGCTGAGTTCCTGAAGACTCGTTTTGGGAAGCTAGACATCCTGGTAGGTTGCCTTTTAAAACTTCCAGATAATCGATATGCATGGCCAAGGATGATAGACCTATTACTATTTTTGTATAGATAAATAATGCCGCAATTGGTGCTGTTGAGTACGTCCAAGATCCTGTTGACAGTTCAACAAGCGAGGAAAAGGTGAGCTTTACTTATTCAGATTGTCAGAAGTATTAGAAAATAACGCTGGTTAATGTCCGGCGCTAATTAGTGAAATCAGTACTACACTACTGGAAATCAAAGCATCTTCTCCAGTACAAAATTATTAAACCTTGGTGACAGGTCCTGTAATTTGATCTCTGGCAATTTATATTAGTTAGGCCAAATTGATGAAAAAGTTTGCTTTGTTGTTGCATGTGCCCAACAGTTCAGTGGCATGGATCAGGGTCAAAGGCTTGAATGCATGTTTAAAGGTGTCCGGGAGACCTACGACGCTGCAAGAGAAGGTGTGAAGACCAACTACTATGCCGTAAAGCATGTGATTGAAGCCTTACTACCGCTGCTGCAAGCTTCCTCCGATGGGAGGATCGTCAATGTCTCCTCTGAATTTGGTTTGCTAAGGGTAATATATAACCAACTTCTTTTATCAACACCTAAGATCCGGTAACAGAGCATCTCAAGAGTACCCAATATTTTCTTTCAAAAAAACATAGAGTTTTACAACTCTAAAAAAAGTATTGATAGAAACCAAGAAGATCATCTCCAAGAGTTTTTAATGATCGACTCCTAAAATATAGAAAATAATTTTATATCAGGAATCATGTACTATTTCTAAATTATTCTAATCACTTTTACATATATCAGGAATCATGTACTATTTCTAAATTATTCTAACCACTTTTACATATTCTTTCTTTCTTGTACATTTGCATCAGAAATCTTTTTCTACTCTTTATTCTTTCTACGCCGTTTCACCTTTAAATTAGCCGACAAACACGCGTGGAGAGAGAAGATACGCGCGACTCCGAAGCGCGCAACTTTACGCGGAACATGATGACTTTTTCTAAATTAAAAAAAAATAGAAGAATGTATTAGGAGTTGTTGAAGAGTGGTTTTTTTTCTCATCGTTCTAAAATTCAAGAATTATGAAGGGATTTAGGCAACGGACATGCTCAGCACGTCTTCTTTCCGGTGTAGTATAGAAGGTGGTAACTGTTTTTTTTTTCCTGTGTAGCTAATAAAAAACGAGGAGCTAAAGCAGGAGCTGAACAAAGTGGAGAAGCTCACCGAGGAGAGGCTGGACGAGGTGCTAGCCACGTACCTAAGAGACTTCGAGGCCGGCGAGGTGGAAGCGCGTGGGTGGCCGATGGGTTTCTCGGCGTACAAGGTGGCCAAAGTGGCCATGAACGCGTACTCGAGGATCCTAGCAAGAAGGCACCCCGAACTGCGCATCAACTGCGCGCACCCTGGCTACGTGAGCACCGACATGACCATCCACACTGGACCCCTAACGCCGGAGGAAGGCGCAGGCAACTTGGTAAAGGTGGCGCTGCTGCCGGAAGGCGGGCCGACCGGCGCATACTTCGCGTTGGGAGAGGAGGCGGCCTTTGTGTGACAAAGCACCGTCGTTAATGTTAAGTTCGTTGTTCTTCAACTACCTGTTGTCAAAGTTTACTGCTGGCTGCTTTGTTCCTCTCCATGTCAAGTCCAAAATGTTGTCACACGACGCTGGTATTTTTGTCGATCGAAGTGTACGTGTCACTATGATATTAACCATGACAAATGTGGCTGTTGTTACTATAAATGTGGTCGTTAATGCTATAGTATCAGTGACCACATATTATCCTGTCGTTGAAAAGTTAATAACGGGAAATTGTGTTTGGTCGTTAATTGTATTAACGACGGAGTCTTTAACGACTATGGACCATATATCCCGTTGTTAATATCACTTTTAAATAACTTATCGAACTAGTGCATAACTAGTTAACTAAACTAGAATTCATCTTCAGCACCGAAATTAACTTATCTATGCCAGCTCGATACTAATTATAGTAACAGATATCAATATGTCATACACATACACCTGTCACATGACCTATCATTAGTGATGAGTCTTTATTGGACCTGATCAACGTAAGCGATGAGTTGTTACTAGCTTATTAGGATGTTCACAGTGACACTGACACTAGCTAATTTCTATATTCGAATTTGTTTAGTTGCTACCGACTCATGTGCTCCTCACTCATATTTTTGAACACCCTGAAATAGATCAGCAATTTTTTTTATCAATAACTACTGCTCTCTTCTTCTTTTTCTCTATTCACGTCACAGGATAGTCCCAACTAGCCAAATAGCTGATTCCTCACTTCTGCGGATGAAACTGTATTTTCTTCCATTTGGAAAAAAAAAATGCCAAATAGGTGGCCGTTGAGTACGCCCCTTGAGCAACTCCAACAGTTTAGCTATAATTACTAGCTAAATTTTATAGTTTAACCATTTTCTAAAATAGAAAGCTCCTAAAAAAAAGAAGAGGTCTACAACAGCCTTACTTTTTCTCATCTTCAGATAGCTAGCGTCCATGGTTGGCTTTATTATATGGCCACCTAAAATCAAGGGAGAACCAGCTTTTTATTTTACAGAGCCAGATAGCACATCTGTTGGAGTTAATTTTTTGCTATACAAATTCTAAAATAACCTCAAAAACAAGAATAGTGAGCTGTTGGAGTTGTTCTTGTATTATATAAGACACGTCACCATTATGTCATTATTCATTTAGGGAGGAAAATGTCGTCATCTACGTCACTGCGTGCGTCCTTCAGTCATTGCCCCCATGCCGCTGCATCTTACCTCGAGATATTTCCACCGTTCAATGGACGCCGGCAGCACGTTCATTGGTTCTGGTGGGCACATAAGTTTTACTACGGTGCTGCTAGCGAACCATCCATCGACAGTCCTGTTCTTCGTAAGTATTGCTAACAACCACCAACCCCACCTCGCTAGGCGACATAAATAACCAGCGGCTATACCTGTCGTCCCCATTCTTGTGATCTTGTCGTCAAGTTCACCGAGTGGCTGAGGAGTGAGGAATACATCTCGGTACTAACTTCTAACCCTTGCACAACGGCGAAAAAATGTTGCAATAGGCCCAATTTGGTTGCAAAAGGCAGATGTTGCAACCAAATCGCATTCGTTGCCAATGATTGCAAAAAGTCACATTGCAATAAGGTATTGCAACCGTTGCTAGTTTGGCGTTGCAAGTGTTAGGGTTTCTTGCAACCATAGGTGTCTGTTGACAAGCATGGTAATAGGATGATGTTGCAATGTTCACGGTCGTGGCAATATAAGCATTTGCCACGCCCGTCTTCGTAGCAAGAGGTGATACATGCAATGATCAATAGTGTAGCAATAGAGACATTTGCCATAAACAACGCCGTTCCAATAGTTTGTATTGCCACGCTACAATTTTGTTGCCTAAGGTGTTATTGCCACGACCTCCATGCCGTGGCAAGTACACCATTCGCCACACAATTTTATTCATTGCAAGAGATCATATGTTATTGCCACGGTCGTTGTGCCGTGGCAATAGTATCATTTGCCACGTAATTCTATTCGTTGTGAGAGATCATAAGTTATTGCCACGGTGGTCATGTCGTGGCAATAGTATCATTTGCCACGCAATTTTATTCGTTGCATAGATCGTATTGCCACGCGTAGCAGCTTGTTGGCATAGTTTGTATTGCAACGCTAGTAGCATTTGTTTGTGGTTTAATAAATCATCATTGCAAAAAACAATAAACCATAACAAAAGCGATTGCACTCACACATATTAATTATAATCAATCATGCAATAATAAATTGAGAAAGCATTGAAGTAGTAGCTAAAATAATAAACGAGTGTACAGTTCACACATTATTTCACAACTTTTAAAAACTTGCAGCAGTACAAGACTTCCTAACATCTATGCAGCACCTCGAGGTTTTCCTAGCAGCAACATGTCATCACCTCGGCTATATCTTCGTTTGATTATGAGCCTCCAACTCAAACCTTGTCCACCTACTGACCAAAACAATAAGATTGGAATATTAGAAAAATATTAAGTTTACTACGTCATGCACAAAATGTAAAGAGCTTAAGATAGAACATGGTTGTAACTAAGCAAAAGATGAATTAATCAAAACTATGGAAGGAGTGTTGTCAATTTAATTAAGCAAAAGTAGAACTAAAAATTAACAAATGCTATACATAAAGCCATTTTGCTATCAAAGTATCTTAATTTTTAAGGCAGCAACAGTACATTTGCTTAGAAAAATCATAACTAGAGTTCTAAACAATGAAAAATTATATTGTTTAACAATACGGAAAGCCCATAAAATTCTCTACATCTTTCTAGTTTTTGTAAAATCAGATTCTGCAGTTATGAAGGTCGAAAATAAAAAAGGCCCACTGCTATGCAGAGCAAGGGCAAAACCTGACAGGCTACATCTAAAATTCATAACTCTCAATTCTCCGGTGCTAAAATTATGAACTTTCATGACGGCAAACATATCTAAACCCTCTACAACTTTGGTATTATCAAGTATCACAGAAAAGGTAATTTACTACACGGAATAATTCACCCAATCAGAACTGCACAAGCTACACAAGCTACAGTTTTCAGCACGTATGATAAATGTATTTCCTACATTTCCTAGTTCTACAAGGAAGGTCACATTTGATAAACTTTCAGCAATTGATGCAAGAGTGCATGACATCTAACAGAGCTACTAACTAGGAATATGGTGAAATAGAATTAAACCCTTAACTAATTATTTACATATTTGGTGTAGGTGCAACCTTTCTTGCATTAGATGTGCCTAATAAAGTAATAAGCATGCAGGGACAGCAAGGATATATGCAGAGAAATGTTTCAATAAATTGCTGATTGGTGCACTCTGTATTTAGGAACACGGTAAAACAAGAATTACACCCAAATCATATCTATTGCAAATAGCACAGTAGTGTTAGTGCAGGTCTGTCTATAAAAGAGTCAGGATAAAATGAGCACAATTTAGTTTCTGCACATAAATTGGTGGGGTGGGAAACGCTGGCAAATTTTGGGAAGGAATCACGTCGTGGTCTTGTGGTTTTGGTGGGAAAATTTGGGAGCCAAATTTATCTGGAGAGTGCTTATCTCTACAACTAAAAAAGTACTAGTAGTATGCCCATGCTAACACTACGGTAAAACCCAAAACATAATCAAATTCATGTCACAATTTCATATTTATGGCACCTTTTAGACCAACAAACATAATTTCACAAATATAATTCCCAACTTTTTACACTACAGCTATAGCTCAATGAAAAGTCCTCTACCTCAATTGAGCAAAGCTCCATACTGGGTATACATATATATAGCTGTCAAGCTCACGTGAACACATTATTTACAAGCACAATGTTGGTTATTTAAACAAACTTATGAGCTGTTTGGTTCCTTCTACAATAACACAAATGTAAATGGAATTAATTCAAATCTATCTCCCACCGGTAATGTCCGCAGCTTTATTTTAATTACGTTTGTGTTTCCGTTGGTACAACCAAATAGCTCGTTAAGCTTTCAGTCAACCCTGTTCACTAAAAAGAGAATACATTAAAAAAAGGCTTAATTGAGGCGTCCATGTTTACTGGGGTCAGACATCTTGACTTTAACAATACTACCTCGAAGCTCATGATCCCAATAGGATGTAGAGGAGAGCTAAAGCATATTACTTGTAAAGCAATAAAAAAGTATCTAAGTTGCTTTTCTTTCTCAATTCACACACAACCAACATTTCACAATAGGAATGTTCTGACATAAACGACGCGTGGCTCAGGTAGTAGTAGCAGCAACAATAGTAGTCGTTGTCGTAGAAGTAGCGGTGTGTGTTGTGGTAGCATTAGTAGTGGTAGACTAGTTTTTCATCATCACTTCATAAAAAAGGTGACTTTTATTAAGGATTTTTCTAGCTAAGGGGGCATGGTCCACTATGGCCCTCACTAAGCTCCACTACTGATGCATGTAGTAGAAAGACCATCCACATCAAAACTATAAATAGGGTCACAAATCTATATTATGAATTTAAAAATACATGTACTCCCTCCGTTCTAAATTATAATTCGTTTGACTTTTTTGACTATAAGTTTGACCACTCGTCTTATTTAAAAAATTTGTACAAACATAGTCAAATTTAAGTCATTCTTGAAGAACTTTTGTTAATAAAAAGCCATAGCAAAAACAAGTGATATTTTGCATAAATTTTTGAATAAGATGATAGTTAAACTTAGGGTTAAAAAAGTCAAACGAATTATAATTTGGAACGGATGGAGTATGTTTTTTGGTATGGGATCACAAAGCTATATTATAATTTTCAGAAGCACATGCATGTTTTTTAAAAAATGAATAGGTTTTCAAAAATACATATATGTTATTCGTCATCAATATGACCATGATATAAATTGGTTTTGAAAAATTTTAAATGCACTTGGAATGTTCAATTTTTTAAAAGTCAAACAAAAATTGTACAAAAAGCACTAAAAAAGCTTGCACTATGTGTCTGGCAAAGGGCACAATGGCCATGCAGTGTATTTGGAATGGTATGTTATAAGGAGTTCAATCAAGCTCAGTCTCTTCCGGTTTTAAGCTGTATTTTTCATACCTCTACATAGATGATGACGTGGTACCAATGTATATACAGCCTGTTTGGTTGGTTGGTTCATATCGTTGCTGGTTCGTAAAAAAGCACTACTGACTGATTTGTGTGAGAGAAAAATACTATTCCAACTGGTTCATATGAACAGTGTCCGCGTAGGGGGCTGGCCAGCCCAGCCAGCCAGCACCAGCCGAACAGGCTTAAACATTGGGCAACAACCAACCCGAACCCGTTAATGGGCCGGTCCACTTCGTTTCGCCAAAACCCTACGGCCCCCACCGGTCGCTTCCTTCTCCCCCGTACCCTCCCCTATTCCCCACCCGTGACTCCGCGTATTCCCCACCCCGTGACTCCCCACGGGCAACGGCAGCGACCGCGGAGTGAATCCACACGGCGGCGACGGAGGTGGCGGCGGATTCATCGACCAAGTCAAGCGGCAAGCATGGCCACAACGCCAGGACCCAAGCGCGCAACTCGCGCGGCCAGATCGCCCCCGCGCCCGAGCTGTACGTCCTCTCCGACTTCGACTCCGACGACGATGTCAATCCGGCCGCAATGCGGTTGGCATTGGAGGCTCCGGAGACTGGAAGAAAGCGCGGCAAAGGGGAGGTGACAACACCGGCGAAGAAAAAGGCTCCCGTGACAGGCGCGAAGGCCGGCAAAGGGGCAGCGTCCGGCGGAGGCCAAAAAAAAGGCTCGTTCTCCAGTGCGAAGGGGGGCAAACGGGCGCCGTCCTCCTCGTCAAAAAAGAAGGTAAGAGCAATTTTCCTCCTTTGGCGCGCTGTGTGATATTTGAATCCCATTCAGAGTTAGGATTTCAGTCTTAAATCTTAGGCATGGTTTTAGGCCAGAGAGACACCTCTTTGTTAGTACAGAGGCATGTCAGAGATCATGCACCCTAGTTGGTCGATGAAATGCCTATATGTGATAGATTCCTAGAGGAATTGCCCGTGCTATCAATCCATAGGCAGAATCCATAGGCAAGCAACTGACTTGATCTCAGCTCTATGTTAAGAAATTGCAGTCAAAGGCAGGGCCATGTCTAGGACTCTAGAGTGGGGGCTGATCTACATTCTGCACTCTAAGCACAGTAGCAGGTCCTATGGCCCTTCGATGCTTGCACATCATGGGAATACCTGGTATTCCCAGTCAATTAGCGGTCCTAGATTTACTAGTGGTAGGATGCAACCACAATTTACTGTTTGTTCAGCATGGACAGTACTTAAAGGTCGTGCAGTGCAGCAGCACAATAGCTAAGTACTTTTCACCTTGATTAATGCAGATTTTCATACTGTACTTTTCGGTAGAAAGGTGTGATAGTAAAATTAGCTTTTGCTTCCAGCTAGCTTATAGTGGTCTCCTAGGCTTAAGATTAATTTCTTTGCACTTGTTGGCTGGTGTTAGCAGTAGCTCTTGCATGCTTTTGATCTAGTGACCTTGACAATTTGTTTCACATGCTTAACTAGATCAATAATTAGTAAGATTATTTTTGAATTGCTTAATCTATGTTACTAGAAGGGCAGGCCTGGTGCAGTGGTGAGAGCTGTCTCACTGAGTCACCAGGTCGCGGGTTCGAAGCAGCCTCTCCGCAGATTTTGCGGGGGAAAGGCTTCCCTCGGTTTTTCCCTTCCCAAGACCCCACGCATGTGGGAGCCTTCGGCACTGGGTCTGCCCTGCCCTTAATCTCTATTACTGAATCATGATATTTTGAGAAAAACATCAAAAGTCACAGGTCTAAGCTAAATACTAGAGTAAGGATATTGATATTGTAGTTGACAGGCTCATCAGTTGAATTTATCCAATGGATGGGTTTTTTTACAGGAAAATTGATGCTAACCCCGACATTTAAGTTTCTCATAATCATAGCAGACGATGTTTATTTGCTACAAGCAGTGTTTTAGGAGAACTAGACAAGTCAATGTTATGAATGGATTTTACTCCAATTTTTTTCATGATTGAGCTACTTGCTGGACTATCATCTAAATAATTTTTGTTATAAATTTTCAAATTTTTAGTGTTTTAAGTTTCTCCTAATTGTAGCAGATGGTTTTTTTTTTTGCTACAAACATAATTTATTAGCTCCCAGCGTGTTGAATAGCAATTCAGCACGTCAGCCAACTATTTAGTGTATACTGAATTTATCTTACCTGAATTTATACTGAATTTATCTTACCTGCAGCCAACTATGTTAGTAAGAGCATTCTTTCGTGCAATGTTGATATATGATCTGGCTTGAACAAGTAACAGGAAAATAAATTAAGTTTGTACTTTTGATGGATAGTAGCTCTTTTAAAATTGAGAATGTCAAACTTATAATTGTTTGTGCATGAATCTATCAAATTATTTCCCTGCTGTTTCTTAATGAATCCAACACCACATATCTGAAAGGTTCACTACTCTGTTTTATTGTTTCTAAGTGATATGTTCAGTCATAACTGCATTTTTTTATTGAAGGTTCCTGATGACAGTGACGAGGAAGATGACTCTTTGTCGGATGCATCAAGTGCAAAGAGCAAATCCTCCCCTCATTTCGATCCTTTTCTGCGCCATATAATTACTGTGTTGATTATGTGCCTTCAGATGTTTTCAAGTAATGAAACAGTACTGATGTTGTAAGTTTGTGTTTTTGAAGATTTGATATGTTCATATATAATAATATTCTTTGAACATGGACGTGGAGACCTGTTGTGCACTAGCAGCCCGCATGAGTTTTTAAATGCACACAAAGAAACACTCAAAATGTTGAGAGGGACTCAGGCCTCTTCAATTATTACAGGTTCAATGTTTCCTGAAAACATGTCTGCAAAAATATCAAATAAATATATGATCTGGCTTGAACAAGTAACAGGGAAATATATTATGATTTTGTTTTGTACATGACTCCATGACACCTTGAACATGGACACGGTGCAGTTTCTGATGCATAGGTGGCTTCAAAAGTAGTATCAATAAAGTTCTCGAGTACTGCTTGCCACTCATCTGTTGACCGAGACAACAGCATCCAACTCCGATCATCATCATGTGCCATTGATTCTATCTTCCAAATGTCACAAGATCGACTTTCCTGCAGCGCGATAATTGAAAGGGATCACGACATTATAAACTATATTGGAGATAGGGAAAAGGCAACAATGAAAGATCTTGCAATAGTGCATGCATATGAGATCCTCTTTTTCTCGTCGATGATGGCCGGCCAGCCGCTGATCGTCTCTTTTGGTCGATGATGGAGGGTGCGTGGCGGCTAGACACTCCCTTCTCGTGTGCCGAGGAAGGATGGTGCACTGGCTGGTGCTCCCTCTCTTTATCTTGTGGATGAGCATAAAGGAACTAGGGCACCACGACGCCGGCTGTAGGGAATTCAAGGGACACGACGACGCCGGCTGCAGGGAGGCCGCGACAACGCTGCTGGCTGTAGGGCCGGTCGCGAGCCCGCGACGCCGCCTGGGAACTTGATCGAGTGCATCTACGTAGGTACAGAATAATTAGATCCTCTTTCAATACCTCAATGGGTCTACATTAATTTATATAGGTTCCTGTGGCTACCAATGACACAAACAAATATATGGTGTAACAGTATGTACCTAGCTTCAGGACTCTTAGGTCTCAAGTTCAAAACCTATGAGTAGCATTTTTTTAATTTTTTTTTACTTAACCATTGTGGTCGAGAACCTTAGGCATTGCAATGATGTCATTTTTTGTTGCAATATGTACAACCATTTTGCAACGAAAGAGACTATTACATACAACGAAACATGGACATGATATTAAAATTTGTATAAGGTTCTGTGGCTACTTATGACAAAAATACTATTATGGTGTAGTGGTTAGTAGCTTAACTTTAGTCTCAAAAGTCTCGGGTTCAAAACCTGGTTACATCTCTATTTTTTTTAAAAAAAAAATTCCTATAAGCGTTGTTCTCTAAACCTTAGTGATAGCAACGATTTATTTTTTCGTTACTATATGTACAACTTTTTTGCAACGCGAGTGACTATTACATACAACAAAACATATTCGTTGCAACATAGACGGGCTATCATAACCATTAACTAAACAGTTGCAATATCATCTTAGTTTTGCAACGCCAATAAAACTGCCCACAACGCAAATCAAATCATGGCAACAGTGATCACTTATTGCAACCGTTCTCTAATTGGTTGCGATAACACTTACTTTTCGTAACGATCTCCAGACTTACTGCCACGAAACAATTTGCATGGAAAAAATCCCATCTATCACAACCAAAAGTGCTAATGGTTGCAATAACACCCCTGTTGCAACCAAATCTTGGCGTTGCGATAAAAAAGCGTGGCATAAGGGTCAGAAATTAGTAGTGTCTCTCATCCTGTTGCTCGAGCTCGTGGTGCACAGGCTCATGGCGGCCGCTATCCCTAGTCCGCACGGCACAAAAAAGCGTGCCATCCGACGTTTTGGCGTGTAATCCATACAGAAGTGAGTTTCTAAAAAAAAAAATTGGGAGTCGGTAAGCCCGGTTCTTTCTTAGAGAAATAACATGCAGTACTGTCGTATACTTTGGTAGGGTTGCTGTTGTTACCGGCGGGAACAAAGGGATCGGGCTGGAGGTGTGCAGGCAGCTGGCCAGCAATGGCATCACCGTCGTCTTGACAGCCAGGGACGAGAAGAGGGGCGCAGCCGCCGTCGAGGAGCTCACAGATGCAGGGCTCTCCGATGTCATTTTCCATCAGCCGGAGGTCACCGATGCTCAGAGCATTGCCAAATTGGCGGGTTTCTTGAAGGCGCGTTTTGGGAAGCTCGACATCCTGGTAACAAGTCATCTTTCGAGCTTAATTCTCAAGGTTTTGTAGGACCGGTGACGACTGATAAAGCAAAGCCATTGTTTCTGCTTTCCAGGTGAATAATGCCGCTATCGGTGGGGTTGAGTCACCTCCCATAGAAAATCCTGCTGAGGTTACATACATGCTCTGATGCTCCGATATGTATTCTAGATTTTCAGCCCGTAGGCCACAATCTGAATTTATTTATATATGTTGGTGCGTGGAACAGATCAAGGGCATGGATGCGTTTCAGATGGCGGAATGGATGCGGAAACAATCCCGGCCGACAAGCGACGCTGCGAAGGCAGGCATTCAGACAAACTACTACGGAATGAAGAATGTGACTGAAGCGCTGCTGCCTCTGCTGCAAGCCTCCTCCGACGGAAGGGTCGTCAACGTCTCCTCCGACTTCGGCCTGCTGCGCGTGAGTTGTTATGATCTCTAATCACATAAACCACTTCAAAGTCCATTCCACCAACCTCAGCTCGTCGTACAGGTGTGTTTTGTTCGAAGAACGAGGTCATCTATCATTTTTTTTCACTCCTTATTTTTTTTTATTTGGTTTGTGAAATAGAATAAGTTGATCTATCACCATCTCATTCATCGTTCCATCTCATTCATCGTTTGCTAATATTTAGTATATGCATGGAAAATGGATTAATTCCATCAAAATTTATAAGATAAACTCATGATGCATCACCGTATGGGGTGACTCCACCGACCAAACAAACCCAGAAAGAGATCGAGAGGCTGCTAGATCTGACTGAAACAAGAAGATCAATCTATCTATCTTTCCAATGCAGCATATCAGGAACGAGGAGCTGAAGCAGGAGCTGGACGGCATCGAGGACCTGACGGAGGAGAGGCTGGACGAGCTGCTGGGCACGTTCCTCCGGGACTTCGAGGCCGGCGCGCTGGACGCCCGCGGGTGGCCGACGGAGTTCTCGGCGTACAAGGTGGCGAAGGTGGCCCTGAACTCGTACTCGAAGCTCCTGGTGAGGAGGCACCCCGAGCTGCGCGACAACTGCGCGCATCCGGGGTACGTGATTTTTTTTTAATTTTAATATTTTTTCGATACTAATTTTAAATCTAACATTCTCGGTTTTTTTTAAATTAATATTTTTGGCCGCGCCTATTGTCCTTGTACGGCCAAATGTCTGTGCCGTGCCATGCATGGTGGCGCCACAGGGAGCTGACGTGGCGACGACCAGAAGCGTTGACCGCTGACGTGGCAGGTCTCTGCCGCGCCACCGATCTTGGCGCGGCAGTGCCGCACCCTGATCCATGGCGCGGCAGAGCTGGGCATATCCTCCGCCGCGGCCCGCGTGAAAGCGATCGCCGTTCTCCGGCGGTAGAAGCAAAAGCGGCTGGCCGCCGCGCGCCTTACCGCCGCCGTGCCGCAAATGCTGCGCGTGCACGCGTCCGTCCGCTAAGCCACCCAGCCGCCCAAGCCAAGCAAAGCTAGCAGCGCGTCGTCGCGGCCGCGCCCGGCCAGTAGCCGTAACCCGTTACGCGCGCGCCGCCGCCAGCACGCAAGACGCCTCCTTCTCCGGCCAGAACCTCCGGGTCACGACGGCGGCTTTTTGCGCGCCGCCCTCCCCGGCCTTCATCTTGCTGCAACGAGGTACTCCACTAATATAGTTAGCACAGTTAATAAAGTTAGTAAAATTATTAAAGTATAGTTAGTAAAGTTAGTTAGTTAGTTTAGTTAGTATACGTAATATAATAAGTTAGTATAGGTAGTAAAGTTAGATAGTTTAGTTAGTATAGTTATAGTATGCCTTGTATAGATGTTAATATTTGATTAGTTAGTATAGTTATAGTTAGAAAATATATTAATGTTAGTATGGACATTACGTACGATGATTTCGACGACTTAATGAAGTTTCCTGAAATGCTTTTGTAGATGGATTGTTGTGTTAGAGTTTTGTACGGATGAAGTGTTAGGAGAGAGGATGGTATGTTTGAGGATATAGAAGAAGAACTGGAATGGTTTGATGAACCTCCTAGCTTCAACGACCATTGTGTCCGTTTGAATATAAAGTTTGACGGTGATTTCACACTAAAGGGGAGGTTTGATACTGGGAAGACTAGGGCACACTATGTCCTCATGCCCTTGCGCGACCCTGCTCACTGGTCCCGCTACACTAAGGTTCTCCAAGATTCCAATGTGCCCATGGCTGAGGTGGTGGTGGAGAATGGGTACATGATGCATGGTGTTCAGGACGGGCCGTCCATTGATGATTTTGGAGGCAATGAAAAAGAATTAGGGGTCGAAGGGGAAGCAACTCAGGATAACATGGATTTAGACGGTCAGTTGACGCAGGAGCAGTTTCATTCAACTGCAGTAGGCTGTATAAGCAATGACTTCGATGTGAATGAGTTCAAACGGGAAGAGGAGGAGCAGGAGGAGGAGGACAGGATCGGTGATGTAGTTAGCAGTGATTCAGACGATTCTGATGATGACAAGGATGTATAGATGCTATGGCAACAACAGCTGATGCTAAGCCTGTACCGGTACATACTATGCCATTACCAGTACCAACTGAGGTTTTGTAAGGTGTCCATGCTCAGGGTAGACTAGTCACAGATTTGGCTGCAGATGATATCCCCTATGTTTCATGGGCCAGAATTAGCGAAGCGTAGCATTATGTTCCATCACCACCTTACACAGTGACTGAGCTTGAGCAACTAAGGTCCAAGAACGTTCTTTTTAGGGACGTTCGAACTATAGGGATGTCAGCATGACGGGTATGGCAGTTTGTGATACCGGTCTCTAGATGTGTAGGAATTCATTGTATAACCATGAGACAGAAACCCTTAGGAAGGGAATGATATTCAGCACAATGTCAGAGATGAAACTCTTTCTTCAGGACTATGCTGTGTACCACCATAGACCGTACACCGTCACTCATTCGGATCAGGAGTTGACGTACCACTTGATATGCAAAAACGGTTGTCTGTGGAGGTTAAATGCACGAAGGAGACAGAGTGATGGCAAGTAGAGGATAACTAAAGTTGTTGAACTCCATACTTGCCTAGACAATAGGGGGAAGAAAAATCATCAGCAGCTCACTGCACGTTACCTTGCCCGTCGTATATTGGGGCTCGTTGATGACAATAACGACATCTCGGTGTCTTCTTTACAACAGTCCATATCTAAATTCGTTAGGTACGATGTAACGTACGGAAAGGCTTGGCGTGCTAAGCAAATTGCTCTGGCAATTCGATGGGGTACTTGGGAGGAAGCGTACAACAGGGTGCCCCGCATCTTATGTGCAATGCATTATTACAACCCTGGCTTGAAATGGTTTGTGGACACTGGAGGAATGTTTTTTCGGGACCCATTGAGGCATGTCCTCTATCGTGTGGTCTGGTCGTTTACGCAAACGGAACATGCATTTCAGTTTTGTCGGCCAGTCGTACTTGTTGTTGGCACTTTCCTGACAGGAAAGTACAGGGGCACCTTGATGATGGATGCTACTGTTGATCCTGAGGACCAGATAGTACCCGCCGCATTTGCTTTGGCAGAGGGAGAGAACAATGAATCGTGGTCATGGTTCATGCGGCTTCTTCGTGTGCAAGTGCTTGGCCCAACTCACACTATATGTTTGATCTCCGACCGTCACGTAGGGCTTCTTAATGCTGCAGCTGGTCATGGGTTCTCGCCTCTAGTACATAGATGGTGCATGAGACACTTTGCCGCTAATTTCTGGCAGCGTCAGCGGAAGCAGGAGGTTTGTGACAAGGTAAAGGCTCTATGTTGTGTACGTACAGAGCACCAGTTCAAGGAGACAAAAGAGAACTAGACAAGATGATAAATGCAGCAGGAAAGGCCTGGTTAGAGGCGCGGATGGAACAGAAGGCTCAGTGGGCGTTAGCATATGACAAGGGGGGTTTTAGGTATGGCATCATGACCACTAACTCCTCGGAGTCCTTCAACCGTGTTTTCATCGGAGTTCGATCGTTGCCTGTGTATGGAATTATTGAGTTCTCCTTTCATAAGTGCAACGAATATTTTGTGAAGAGATGGGAGCTTGCGCAGAGGAATATAGCTGAGCAGTGGCATTTTGGAAAGGCCGAAGCTGAACATTTGAAGGAGCCCGAGAAATTGGCCAAGCAGCACACCGCCGAGCCGTATGGACCCCGCCGCCATATCTTTAGTGTACGGGGCAAGGGTGGCACAAGCCTGATCTTAAAAAGGTAGAGTGTAGTTGCAACGTTCCTCAGATCATGCATGCCCCTTGCTATCATATGATCACGGCCTGCAGGGTTCGCGGGTACAACTATGAGGATCTGCCATATATGTCACCTATTTATCTCCGTTCGAACACCGTTATTTGGGAGAAGAGCTTCGAGCCATACCTTGACCCAACACAGTGGCCACCTTATAATGGTTATGACTACGTGCCGCATTCGGATCTAATGAAGGTAGGGAAGGGTAGGAGGAAGAAGAAGCAAATGAAGGGGGACATGGACGCTATGAGAGGGTACGGCGAAGACATGTATAATGGGGGGGACTTCAACGAGACCCGTGGCAGGAATCTTTGCTCCGTTTGCAAACAATATGGCCACAAGGTTAGCATGCATAGAAGGCACCAGGTGATTTCATATTGTGTTCGTATTGCATAACAAGTAGTTTAAATTTTGCAATGCTACATAATGTTAATCTGAAAATTGTTAATTTGAATACTCTAACCTTTTGTTTATCATTTTGTAACAGGATGGCTCCTCCCACGCCGCACCAGCTGATCCCCCTTCTTGATGTGGAGTACGACGACCCCCTTCTTGTACCGGACGACGAGGTTCATTACGTCGTGGGACTTAGTTCATTACGTCGAACTTATGTCGAACGAATATTGTCGTCAAAAACTTGTAGACTCATAAACCAATGAAAATGTTGTATGGCAACTTATCGTCCATTTATTTGCTTCATGTTCGTTTTGTATAGCACTTGTATTTTTGTACAACACCGACAACAACTTAATTGTAGCTGGCCGTTGTCTGTCCGCGCACTGACGTGCCATGTACTATGGCGCGGCACAGACGTTCATTTTAGAAATTTTAAACGAATGATACAAACAGATGTGATCACTTAAGATCGATCATGGGTAATCCGAGTACATGATACATTGGTACAATACATCAGTAGTTCAAATGGAATATAAGACAACACAATAGAATTTCTACTACATGGCTACATTGATCATTAATAAAGCATGGAACTAACAGATGGCGCAATCAAAAACCCTCAGTCAGAAACATACTGAGTAAGCAACTCATCGTCCGAGTACCAATTCTCAACCACAACCCTGTTGCTATGGTTATGCTCACCTGCGTTGCTCTGACCTGCCTGTCGCCTGTAGTAAGCGGCCTCCGCTTCATCTGCGGCCGCTGCGGCCTGAGTGATGAACGCGTCGTCATCCTCCTCCGCCTGTAAGCCCACCTCTGCTAGAGCGATGAGCTCGCTCAGTCTGCCAGTGTCGTCCTCATCCTCCTACGCCTGCAAGTCCGCCTCTGCTAGAGCGATGAGCTCGCTCAGTCTGCCAGTGTCGTCCTCATCCTCCTACGCCTGCAAGCCCGCCTCTGCTAGAGCGATGAGCTCGCTCAGTCTGCCAGTGTCGTCCTCATCCTTCTTCGCCTGCAAGCCCGCCTCTGCTAGAGCAATTAGCTCACTAAGTCTGGTAGTGTCGTCCTCATCATCGTCCCCCCTCATCAGACAACACAATCGGTGATTCAACGGTGCGACCAACTCGCTTTCTATGCTCATCTAACTTCTTTTCCTCGTACCTTGCACGAGCCACCTCTGCAGCATGTTTCTCGCTGCATCCAATCCCTTCATGTATAAAATGTAATCAGTTAGCAACGTGATTATATTACATTTAAAATCAGACAACGAAAAAAGCGTTCAAGCACTCACTGGCACATAATGCAGCAACATGCTCGTTCAAGACCTACATCTGTACTCTTGTCTCCTCCCTTGCTCTCTCCTCCTCTAACGTCATCCGCCTCTCCAATCCCTATTTGGTAAGCCCAACATCGATCGGGTTACAAATACCGCGCTATCTAGCAAACTCACGTATCTTTTCTTTGTGATGTTTAACGAATAGGTTGACGTAGTCAGGTCCATATCTCCTCTTCCTTGTAATTAGTTACCTCTTCTTCAGTTCATCCAAGAACTTAGCTTGACCATCGTAACGTTCCCACCTGCATTTCCTAGTTTACCATAAAAATAACGAACCGCTTCGTACTCAACTATATGGCCGCAATAATGGCCTATTCCAACCCCCGAAGAGACTAGGCCATAGTTAGAATTAACACCACACTCGCACTTGACTGGTGGTGCTTTATAAATTAACCTTTATTTCTTCTTTTGTTTTGCTTTTGGAGGTTCTTCGGGCCATTTGTTCTTAGGACCATACAACCACTCCTTGAAACAACACTTCGCCATTGAATACACCTAAATAACGTGACATTAGTACATGTCGACGAAATATGGTCGGCAGTCCACCGAGGGGGGTGCCCGTGGTGGTAGATTATCGGTAGGATGCATGTGATCAGGAACCAGATGGTGACACAAGGCGCAGAGACAGCGATTTAGACAGGTTCGGGCCGTCTGATCGACGTAATACCCTACGTCCTGTGTCTTTGGTGTATTGTATTGAGATGTATGCTGTCTGATCTCTATGGATCCGTCCTCTAGGGGACCCTTGCCCCTCCTTATATACTCCGAAGGGACAAGGTTACAAGTAAAGTATCCTATTTGGTACTATTACAATGTCTTGCCGTGCACGCCAAGCAGCGCCGTGCACGCCTTGATCTCACGGGCCGGGCCACCTCGGATGGTGCGGCCCATGTACCATCTTGTGGTACCCGGGGGTCTATCCCCCACAGCTAGTCCCTGAGCGCCATGTATTCTGATGCGACACGCCATTTCAACCTTCTCCGAACAGTGAGGCTTGAGTCCTTGACGTCTCTAACCACCGTCGTCGCCGGAGAAGTAGGTTGTCCGAAGAATGTATGGTGCTCTTAAGAAAAAAGAAAAAGATTTCCGTCTTGGGAAGTGTGCCCACTTGTATTTCTGAAAAGAAATGTAAGTGCCTCTTGAAGCGTAGTGTCCTTGATCATCAGAGGCGTAGAGGTCGAAAAACAAACACATTCACCGCAAGGTGAAGTGTGCCCACTTAGTCCCCGAGCCTGGTAGTAGGTGACGTAGGCACGTGGTGCCAGGGTCTAAAAAGAATTTCCAGTTAAGTTGAGAATCCAATCGTCATACAGGCGATATGAGATGCACCGGCAGGTGCATCGTACCGATGTAGTCCCCGAGCTTGCTGGAAGGCGAGGTATGAGCCTTGTAGCAAGGTATAAACGAGAAAGAATATCCCAATTGTATGCGAGTCGCCAGTCGCATGTAGTTGAGACGCAAAGTCCCCGAGCTGTGGTCGGAGAGTGGTCGAGGCAGTCCCCGAGCACAGGTCGAGGGGCGAGCGGCGAAAATCCCTGAGCTATGGTCGAAGAGTTGTCAAGGCAGTCCCCGAGCACAGGTTGAAGGGCGAGCGTAGAAGTCCCCAAGCTGTGGTCGGAGAGTTGTCATCTTGACGGTGGTCATCATTGCGACGCGTCGGGTAGTCAGAGTAAGTAGTCCGGGCGACGTCATCCTTCTGCAGCTTGCTCGGAGGCTCGGGCGGCTCGACGCAGTTGAATGGGTGCGCGAAGTCGTAGGCGAACCCGCATAGTCGATCCCATGTTAGAGACAAGTCACGAGGATTTTTGCAGGTGTGACCGGTGCATGCGTAAGCACGTATATGCAGAAACCAATATTAATACGTCGATCACTTTTGGCTAGATTTCTTGGATCATGTTCGCGTCATGGTGACATAAGCCCCGCATAATTTACTTGCTTGCTGATCGGCTCTTATCCGACTAGAGTCCGGCTCTCTCTACCACGCAATCCCGTGCACCCGCGGCAATCCCGAGCCGAGCTACCATGTCGACAATGGCGCTGTATGCCTCGGACATGACCTTCTTGCCATGGGGCTGCACGCGCTCATGCACGGCCAGGTGACCCGACGGAGGCGTAGTGTTGAGCGAGAGCGAGAGCATCACGGCCGTGGGCTCCTGATCGAGCGTGACCTTGCTTGCTTGTCTGACGTACATGGAAGCTATAATTAGCTTGCATGGTGGTGTAGATCATGACGTGATGTCATAACGCTGCTTTCAAGTCTCGTCGTTGATGCATGCCGCGGCTGAAGCTTTGACTTCGTATTTGCCAACACGAGATGCACGTGGGACAGATTCCGATCTCGTCGCTAGTTTTAAGATCGGATCTTGATAAAATTTGCTGCAGAGCTGAGGTCGCCTGGCTTCTCGCTGACTTGCTTCCTGGTGTTGGTCCCGGCCAAAATCCAGGCGAGTCGGAGCTGGATGCTTCAGAGGTGAAGTCCCATCGCACGTAGCCGGATGGTTGTTGTCGCTGTAACGTCGAGGTCGTAAGGCTGTTGTTGTAGGCTGTTGTTGTCGCAGGTAGCCAGACGGTTGTTGTAGTCCCCGAGCTTGCTGGAAGGCGAGGTATGAGCCTTGTAGCAAGGTCTGTGTGGAGGTGCGACAGCACCCGTACAAGGAACGCCATCAACAAGTCAGCTGGGAGCGCCGTCATCTTCAAGTTAACCGGCGAAAGCTCTTGGTCTCGACCAACACCAGCATCGGCGGGCCATCTTCTTTAGCTCGATCAATGCCGAGTCCCCGAGACCCGAAAGACGATGTCGGCCCAATGAGCAAAGAAGCGCCGCGTGCCCGACCAGCCAATAGTGTAGGCTATAGTTTGTATAAGAAGATGTAGTTGTGTTATTGTAAACTTGGACCTTTTTCGTGCAAGCTTGTAATAACGTAACTGTATATCTACATAAGCTTGTTTGTTTTTGTAGAAAACATGTTTAAGCTCGGATATGATGTTGGTGTAACTAAGTTAGAACGTGTTGGCGTTCTGTTTAGTTGTACCGGTTTAGCCGACACGTTATCCCGAAAGGTTTATACGGCCCTGGTTTGACTTCATGGTCGGAGTGTGAGGTGTAATAAAAGTATGATCTTTGAAAAGGTTCCCGAGCTTGCTTTGGAAGGTGAAGTATGAGCCTTGTAGCAAGGTCAAAGAAAATAAATGCCTCTCAACTGTATGTGAGTCTAAGTCACATGTAGCCGAGGAGAACAGTCCTTGGACTATGGTCGGAGAGTGGTCGGGGCAATCCCCGTCCACAGGTCGAGGAGCGAGCGATGAAGTCCCCGAACTGTGGTCGGAGAGTGATCGAGGCAGTCCCCGAGCACGGAGTGGTCTGGCCAGAAGTCCCAGAGCACGGAGTGGTCTGGCGAATCCCGAGGGTCCCGAGCACGGAGTGGTCTGGCGAGTCCCCGAGCACAAGGGTGGTCTGCGCCGAGTCCTCGAGCACCGTGAGTGGTCTTGGCGAGCCCTCAAGCATGAGCTCGTTGACCGAACTATGTTCTGAAAAAATAAACACGGAGAGCGGTAGTACATGATGATGTACGAAATATATTGACCCTCTCAGGAGGTGAAGTAAACACTTGGTGTTCGGTTGGCGATGAATCATACTTGGTGTAATATTGAAAAATAACATTAATTTGTTTTTAGCCCTTTTGTTATGTAGTGGCGTGGAAGCGATGTATTAACTCGTCTCGAAGAATGCGCCACCACAGGCTGACCAACATCTCATAGCTTGAGGTAACGGAAGGCCGCCGCTTGCGTAGAGTGCCAGTGTTACTGTGGAGCGATCGCCGACTACCCATAGCGCAGAGGGCGGACTCTCATGCATCGCGTGAGGGTGGAGCCGAGAGCGATCTTGCGGCTCTGGGATTCTCAAGCAGGAAGGAAAACGTATCGGCGAACCATTGTAAAAACTTATACATGTTTTGAATTGTATGTATGGAGAAAATTCGACGTGGAGCGCACCCTAAGGGTGGTCGGTGGAGGTGTATGATGATCGAAGAAATTTTCAATTAAAAATAATACTTAGCTTTATTGACGACCGGTGGGTGTAGTCGGTGTGTTGCGATGTTCGAGAGATGGCTTGACGTGTCGTTGGCGATGAAGTTGTCCGGTCCTCGAGCTTTTCGACCTGTCGTCATGACTGTGGTCGCGATTGTCGTAGCGCCGTTCTTCGCGGCGATCATCATTGCGACGTGGTCTTGTGGTCGAGGTGGTCGGAGCTCGGCGGAGCTGCTCGGGACGTGGTCGACGTGGTCGCGGTCGACGTGGTCGGAGCTCAGCGGAACTGTTCGGGATGTGGTCGACGTGGTCACGGTCGACGTGGTCAGAGCTCGGTGGAGCTGCTCGGGACATGGTCTGGTGGTCGGAGGGCTTTGTCGTCACAAGACGCGTCGACGTCAAGTCTCATCAGGTAGTCAATGAAGGCCACCGCGATCAGCCGGCCGTGCTGAAGACAAATCGTCGATCCTGGTGATGGCCTTGACGGAGTCGAGGGAATTGGGGCTGAGCAGTAGCAGTGCCTCATGCACACATGTAGAAACTTGTGTACATCCTGGTAGCCTCTGGATCGAGTAGTCATTGGATGAAAACAGCAAGCCTGTACGTGATGCATATACACGTATATGCATGATTAACTTGCATGTCTTTCTTGCTAGCTTGTTTGTCATAGCGCATGTACACGATCGTATATGGTGCCTAGATTGATTTTCTCTTGATCCAAAACGAACTCGAAGAAGGAAACCGACTCCGCTTCGAGGCAGCAGCAACCATCGAGCGGCAGCGTCAGCGGCAGCGTCCGCAACTCGGTGATAATTATTGCGTCTAGATGCGTGAGTCAGACCATGCTGAACTGATCAATCCCCACGTGCGCAATCGGGCGATGAATTCGTCGACCACCAGTCAAGCTCCGACTTGTAGATGGATTTGATGACGGTTGCCGCGCACGATGTTGAACACCGCCGCCGATTTGTCGTAGATGTTGTTGAAGGAGGCCGTCGCAGCAAGATGAGTTGCTGCAAACGACGTTGGTCGTGAGATCCCATCTGGTTCGCCAGGGATCAGCACGCACATCCCCTACCTGGCGCGCCACTGTCGACGAAATATGGTCGGCAGTCCACCGAGGGGGGTGCCCGTGGTGGTAGATTATCAGTAGGATGCATGTGATCAGGAACCAGATGGTGACACAAGGCGCAGAGACAGCGATTTAGACAGGTTCGGGCCGTCTGATCGACGTAATACCCTACGTCCTGTGTCTTTGGTGTATTGTATTGAGATGTATGCTGTCTGATCTCTATGGATCCGTCCTCTAGGGGACCATTGCCCCTCCTTATATACTCCGAAGGGACAAGGTTACAAGTAAAGTATCCTATTTGGTACTATTACAATGTTTTGCGGTGCACGCCAAGCAGCGCCGTGCACGCCTTGATCTCACGGGCCGGGCCACCTCGGATGGTGCGGCCCATGTACCATCTTGTGGTACCCGGGGGTCTATCCCCCACAGTACATGACACATATAGCTCAATATTTCAACACATACACTTTGCTCTTACTTCATGCTTGTTTGGACACACAAACTCCAACGTATTGTCAGTGTTTATCACGGCTCGGTCTCCACAATGGCACAGAGGAGGTTCCTCGAGTCGTCTAACTGCGGCTAAGTGCTTCTCCTTAGCCATCATTGGAGAGGGAGGGGTTAGGGGGAGGTGGAACCCACCGCTCGAAGTTCTCTCGTGGATGGCATCCACTCTACCAATCGTCGAAAAGAAGGTACTTGGGGTCAAACTTGTCTGCACCGTCAATTCACTGAAAGAAAAAGCACCTCTCATGGTCCTACACAACAAAAAATTTAAAAAATATTAGTAATCTAGTAATACAAATGAAGAAGAAAAAGATAGTGAAAATAATTACTTACATTAAAATGACTGCACGTGTAGAAGCAACGAGCCGCTGTGTTCGGATGTCTCGATTGAAACACGTCGGCCGGACGACCACAGTCACAATTAGGGATAGGGAGTTCGGGAGGGACGGGGGCATCTTTGCTAGACTCGTCGGGGTATATTTCTCTAGGACGACCCCGTTTTCGCCATAACTGCTCCCGAAACATGTCTTCCATCTAATAAAACAGTTCAAATTAAACATCAATCAAAATAACGCAAATTAATGTAAAATGTAATCATTTGCGATGCAACTAAAATATTATAAACAACAAGTATAGCAATAAAAATATACATGGCAAACATACTTCTAACTAAATAATTAACCTTAACATTCACAAAATCAAACTAATATGTTCACAATAGTTTCCAAACATAATTTTCCTACTAACCTTAACTCCCATTCATAATATCATATCCACCATTCAAACGAAAATAAAATGTGCGTCATTACCTTGGACTATGACGAGGAGGGAGGGAGTTGCCCGAGGAATGGAAGGGAAGGGAGGGAGGCGGCAATGGAGGGCCGGGCTGTCACCGTTCGTGGCGCGCCCGCCGGCGTGCTTGACGACGGGCGGGAGCGGGACCGACGCCTAGGCCGCTTTGTTGGGCAGCGGGACTGGCCGCGGCGGAGGATATACCCGGCTCTGCCACGCCATGGATCAGGGCGCGGCACTGCCGCGCCAAGATCGGTGGCGCGGCAGAGACCTGCCACGTTAGCGGTCAGCGCTTCTGGTCGCCGCCACGTCAGCTCCCTGCCGCGCCACCATGTATGGCGCGGCATAGGCATTTGGCCGCGCCAAGATAATAGGCGCGGCAAAAAATGTTAGTTTAAAAAAAACTGAGAGTGTTAGATTTAAAATTAGTTTTGAAAGAATGTTAAAATTAAAAAAAAATTCGGGTACGTCAAGACCGACATGACCAGGCAGACGGGCCTGCTGACGCCCGCGGAGGGCGCGGCCAACTTGGTGAAGGTGGCGCTGCTTCCAGAAGGCGGCCCGACCGGCGCTTTCTTCGCGTTAGGCCAGGAGGCGCCGTTCGTGTGACACTGCCATGCGCCCAGACTGGCGGCGGTGCACCGTGCACGGCCCAGCGCTAGTGCGCCACCGCCGTTCTCTGGCTGCCTGGCGTGCCCGCTAGTGCTATCTACCTGCGCAGCTTAATAGTTAATTAATTTGCTGGCGTGGGACCGCGAATAAAGGATTGCTGCTGCTTCGGTAATAAAATCGCCCAGATGTCGGATAAGTGTGTTTTTTTGCTAGTCTGAACTTAGAACCGTGCAGAGTTTACGCCCGTACCAGTAAGGCTTATTGGGCATTATTGGTGCTCAGCGGCCGCGAGCGTTCATAGTGAGCCAGTGACAGGCAGAGTGCCGTGACGAACTGACGGCAAATCTGCTGCCGCACGCGGGTCAGCGGGTGGCTGTCACGAACAGGCAGGAATTTCAGGGAGGAGAGGTTCTCACACGCGTCTGGACGCTGCTGCGTCTGCTGACTTGCTGCGCCTA